TTACATAGGAGAAGTGCATTTCGAAGTATTATGAGCATAATAATGGTAGTATATTCTCAAATGACTAACGTTACACGAGGCGTGCCAGTTTACAGGCTAGGCGCAGTTATTACAATTGATCGATCACTTGGTGGTTATAAGTGTCATGTGTGTCAAGTTCTTCTTGGCACAGATCGAATGCTATGGATCGAGTTATAATGTGGCCACCAGTCCAGGTGACTCGACATTGCGTGCACCATGTTGAGACTAAATGGTGGTTGGAGGTATTCAACAGGAAACCTTGGAATCGGGTTTCGTGCTACTTGGCACTCGTCAGCAAGGTGTACCTGTACTGGTGGCCACATTACAACTCGATCGGTGGCACTCGATCTGCACCAAAAAGGACTTAATACACATGACATTGATCGCCACCAAGTGATCAATCAATTGTGATTACATCTCATTCCTACTGGAGGTCGGTCGCGGCCCGGATAGCTCAGTGGTAACGTCTCTGACTGTGAAGCTGGGTGACACGGGATCGAATCCGTCAGGGGACACCAGTTCCTTCAAGACAACAGGTACACCTTGCTGACGAGTGCCGAGTAGCCCGAAACACGGGCCCAGGGTTTCCTGTTGACTACCTTCAACCACCATCTAAGGTGCAGTTATTACAAATGCTACAAGCTTCTTCTATGACGTGTTGGTATTTGCTTCACTGCGAAAAGTTACGCAGGTGTGTTATAAAGCACACTGATTATGTAATCCAGGGAATAACATTTCTCGTATACGAATACAAATAATGTTAGTAAGACTGAAATTGTACACATAAGCGTTGGCGCCCTTTATGGAGATTGCGTTACATCGTGCCACTGATGGTCGAGAATGGGTCCACGTAAAGTTGAGAGCTTTTAGAACTCAAGTTTATATACTTCTGGAATATGTGAGGTCACAAACTGACTATGATGAGAAATGTCTACAACTCTTGATTCGTGTGTACTCTAAGACACGTTAGGAAGACCAGAAGGTCCCGTTCGAAACTGATAGAATCAGATATCTTAAGATCAGCAGTAACGTCTCAATTCCTAAAGATTATATGAATCTTTCTGGACATCAAAATGAACGATTAAGCAAGAGTGCTACAAAATCATGGAACAGCGGAATTAGCATTGACTTATTGAGACCATAAATTATATTACGTCGAGAAGAAACACATCGGCAATCCATTACCAGTTCACACTTATACTTACGCTCGTATGTGATCCCAATTAATCATAAAGTATACTTGCACAATCAACCAGTCGAATAATCACGTTTACCAGGAAATTCGTCGCTTAATCTCATAGTTTAAGTCAATAAACACTAACGAAAATTTCATATTTTCCCACAATATCAGAAATAGAATTCGTAAACCATCAACACTTTCGTGGCCCGATAGTTGATTTTTAATATGGACAGCCAAATTTTATATTCCCTGTGGAAAGAGGAATGCAATGTGATAAGTGCGATAAGTGATTCCACAATATGTGCACTCATTCAAATCCCACTGTATACAGAAAATGCTCAAAGCCTAACTCCCATTAGCTCGTAATATTTTGTTGTTCAAGCAAGACATTACTAACCCAGGAGACAATAAGCTTTCTGGTGTTGGCCGGCAAAATGTTGATCATGGCTGGACTAATAACATGGGCACTGATAGCGAAAAGTGTTGCAGTGTGGTAAGTGCTAATATGCGACAATCCAAACACCCGACCGAATAACATGCAATAGAGTAATCTCTCTTCAAACAATTAAAAAGTGAAACAACACTTGGCATTGATGGTTATGTTGCTATAGCAACAAGTGCTGACTTAGATAAAACCATCTTTTCCGAAGGGTCCCTATGTGGATGCTCCGACTTTTGGGAAATGGCAGATAGTGCGAAGACAAGGGAGAAGAGAAAAAGATACAAACAACATCCGTCTAGTTGACAAGTCTTTGGTACTCTCAGTCTATGCGTCGAACGTTACTCTACCTAAGTTCCAAAGTGAGACGATATTTAACCCTGACCTAACTAGAAAACGTCTGGTTTTATGGAATAATGTTTTGGGTAATTCACTCGAACTAAAAGATTGTGTTTCAAGAACAACCGAGGATAAGCGCATAGCAGATCGCGAGCAGGAAATGACATCATGATCAAAAACCGTGAACATGACTTTCAAATTAGTATAATCCGTCCCTAGTCTAATTATTGAGAATCTGAGAGAGTCAAAAGATAATGAGTTTTCCAAAAGGCATGAACGCAACTTGGATTCACTTGAATCTGCAAATAGAAATGTACTGCAAAAATAGGTTTCAGTACATATCACGAAAGTAATAAGACTTGGTGAGTTAGTTGGAGGTGACATTCAACAAAAAAGCTCTTAAAGTTAGTTCTCGGAAATTATGAGGAAAGAGATGTCATACTGAGTAACCCATACAAAACTCGTAATTCTAATGTTCATATCTGACTGAACAGGCAGCTTGATGATGGAATCAAGTGGAAAAATGCCCTTACCGGGTCAAAAACTCGAAAGTCAAACAAACCTTAAGATTCAGGTCTTTCGGAAGTACTGTCTTCCAAGACCTGTATAGAAAGAATGAGTGATTCTCAAAACACATTAACTGTGGGCTACATGAAACCTCGTAATCTTAGAAATAAAATGATCGAGTTACATCTGATAGCGGATGAATTAACCCACCATGTGATTGTTGGCACAGAAACGCGGCTCACCATCTATGCAAACTCTTCCCTCATCACTGATGATTATATCTATATCACAAATGATATAGTCATAAATCTCAAAGAGTCAGAACACTACATTTTAGGGATTATTTTCATGTACAATCGAACACAACAGAGGCTCGTGATAGTGGTACATGTGAAGTAATTTGTTGTAAGGTTAAGTCTAGACAAAGGTGAAAGGCTATGGGAGGAATATACCTTAGTCCTCGTTGTCTTTCTTATGACATTATCTTAAGCCATATCCGTTTTTGGAGTATGGTCGAATACTGGAGATTTCAGCACGCCGCATGTTAACGGGATAGAGCTTGCAACTTCAGGTGGATAATTTGATAGCAATCTGTTATCAACAATTATTCGGTGTACACTTTTTACAAAATATCGCTAAACCAACATATATTGACTTGAAACATGAACAGTCATTGCTGGGCCTTGTATTTACACGCCACAGTGACGATGTCATCGACATTTGGCGCCTTCCCCTGCTAGAAAATGGTGATCACGTTGTACTTTACCTTAGATTTTGGACACATGGTATACAGTACGTATCTGCTTCACTCTATCCCAACATCTGGTGAGTTAGCATTCCGACAATTAGAAACTGTAAAATCTCAAAAGAGTAGTCGCATAACGCAAATGGATCGATCAAAGACAAGTAGGACACGTTTAAGGCTACAATTGATTCTGTAACATTACCGTACATCCCACGGTCAACACGTAGGCTATCACATTGCCCTCCATCGGCTAATAATGAACACCAGAAGCTGCTGAAGCGTAAGAAACACTTCTGGATCTCATCTTTGTCAACAGGACATGAATCATATAAGTGTGGGTACCGAAAAATTAGAAATATTTGTAAAAAGACCGTAGCTAGTGCCGCACCATTTACGAAATAGAGTAGGTATATGATAGCCATACTTGTCTGAAACAGCTGTCCTTTGTACATTAAACCAAGAATAAAGCGTAGTGATGGCTAAGTTACTAAGTCACATAGAATCATACAATCTGTTAACCCCATAGCAACACGGGCATCGAAACAAGCATTCGTGCTTAACTGACTTACTTATTACAAGAAAGGATCGAACGGTTAGTCTGTCGGTGTGATATTCATAGATTTAGTTAAAGCATTTGATAAGGCCTCTCACATAGGTCTTATGCAGAAGCTTCCGAGCTTCGGAATAACCGGTGCTGTACAGAAATGTATAAGTGACCTCTTTTGTCACCGAAGACGAAGAGTGTGGGGTTAAATAGGTTGATCTCTGAATAGAACCAAGTCAAAAGTAGCATAATCCAAGGTATCATCTTAAGTCCCCTACATTTTCCTACCTACGTTAATGAATTACCGTGCTTGCTTAAAATATGGACACTGCTATTCGTGGATAATGTAAAATCTGGGGAGCAATAAAGAGTGGGACTGATCGTTTTGATCTTCAAGTTGACGTAGACGAATTAATTAGATTATCTCAATGTTATGGCTTAGGATCTAATTCTAGAAAGATTGTGTTCATGCACATCGGACAAGGTAACGGTTACCACCATGCTGTCAACAGTACACCTTTTCCTAGAGTGCAGGAACATAAAATCTTAGGAGAAATGTTGAGTCACGACTTGAAAATAAAAATACTCATTGCAACATAGCCGCCGCCAGAGGTTTCTGTGTGTTATAATCACCTCACCAAACATTTAAATGCTTTGACCAGATGTTTTGAGTCTTATGCACCATCTACGTAAGACCACACATAAAGTTCTGTATCCAAACTGCTGATTCATGTCTTATTAAGGATACCTACTCACTTGAGCGTTTTAAGCGCGTGGGAAATATCAGTGAAAGCCTTTCTAAAGCCCTTTATGATGGGCGCTTAAAATGCCTTATCTTTTCCCCTTATGGTCTCGTAGAACGAGAGGTGACCTTATATTGACATTCCGTGTCTTTAGTTACGATGTGGGTGCTAATGTGGTTTATCTGTTTGCTCCTTCCAGCATTGGAACTCTTCGTAGCCATAGGAAGAAGGCTCAAAAACTGAGATCTAATGAACTCAAAGAGGGGTTCCGTTTTTCTCATCCAGTGGTCAGTGTCTGGAACACCTTACCCGAACAAATAGTATCAGTCCTATCGGCAAACACTTTCAAAGAGACCTTTACTAGAAAACAAACTGTTAAGATTATTACAAGTCCACTAACATACTATCATTATTAATGAGGACTGAAGACTGATCTCGAACACATCAGTCATACTTCGTTGTTTCAACCATGCGCTGCGTGTAATTTTCTTCAAGGTAACTTGACCAGCAAATTGTTTGTATTTAAATCGCTATTCTTCATAAGTAGAAATGATTTAATTCATGGTCACAAGTACATGTTTATTACTGTGAGGGTGTCTTTAGACTTCAAAATGCACCAGTCTGAGAAACAAACATTTGACATGTTTTTGTCTGGTGATAAGTAAGAATCTGAGGTGTGTGCTTCGAAAGATTACCATCGTTTAATTGGTTCTTTATTCAGTCCGCATGCTATGCTTTTCCACTTATCACAGTTCACTTATGCCCTTCAGTGGAGTGGAAGGTTAATTTATTTGACCCTAACATGCATAAGGCAAGCAATCTATCCCAATGGACATAGTTGTGATAATTTCCTTCTTGATCGAAATTATGGCTTGCATTTAAATCTTCAATTTGGATACAAGTAGTCTTTTATAATTTTGGGGTAACTAGGAACGAACAAAAGATAAATTTTTCCATTATTAACTTCTAATAATACCAACACCAGCTTTCATCTTTATGTGATGGTTAGGTTTGCATATTCTGATGACCCAGTGGATATATATACTAGACAGAATATTCATTCTTTCATGTCCTACCATACCAGACAGTTTGGTCTTTGAGTTGTAAGTTTGAAAGTAATGAACTCATGGTCTGGGATGAATTTTTACTTCTGAATGTACAAAAGCATAAGAGTTTTTGTGGCGATGTTTTCTCTGGATAACATAAGGAGAGCGTGGGAATGGCCTCAGAAATATCGCTGTTAAGGCCCTAAAGGTGTAGTTCTAGGTCGTTCGAAACTCGATAGGGTGCCGTACATTACTGGCTTCAAGCAGTTGTCTGTTTTTCACTTCATTTGCGCTTTCTAGTCGTTTAGATCACTTCCAACCGAATCTCCTTTGTAGGTACCTCACTGAGAATTGTCCTTCCACCATTTGGGCAACGTGCGAGTGACAGCTTTCCTCCTACAACACGTGAAATCACCCCGTTCATCATTAAGCCCTATTTTCACTACCTAGCTGAAAAAAACTTACAGATTACATATTTATCATATATACATCAATGGCTTCAGTGTTTGCACGTTTTCTGATTTATCAGAATTACTGTGGTCGAACCTGTTTTTTTACTATGAACATCTGTTCAGAAGAACTCAGTCTTCAGCTTTCTTTTCTCTCATATACTTTACGAGAAACTACTTGTGACTTGGAAGAATGCCGATATTAATATTGGTCCGGCTGTTTGCTGTGACTGCGGGATAGTTGTTACTTATTACAGTGAAACAAGATTACTACACCGACTGAAGAAAGGAAAATAGTGTAAATCTAGACTTATTAACTGACCACTGATCAAAGAGACTTCAAAGCTAACAATAAGGTGTATATCATTTTAAATTTCCAGTCAATGGATAAATTTTGAACGGGCAGTAGTTAACGTAAATTAATTAACAGTTCAGTTTCTATATAACTTACAAAATGGATAAGTTTACCTACTTGACTGAAAAATATAGCTCGTCACTGAGCTGTACGTTTGTTTTTTGACCCAACTTTATACTTCTGTTTCTGAATCCAACCACATCCTAGATTCCTCTGAACCACTTTCTAGTCTGAAGGATATATTGCCAACGTTACCCCGTTTCAAGATGTCTTCTGGAACTAAAATCTTTTCGTGCGGCTATATTCTGTAGCAGTCGTCCTCGAGGTGTAATTAGTTTACTACCAACACAGTCTGTGGTAGAATTCTCCTATATTTCGATAACTGAGTGGTGATAATGTTAATAACATTATGAATAAATAATTGTTTTGTTTCTCCTGTCATCTTTAACAGTCATGCGATCCCCCGTATCACGAAAACTTTTGTGAAGTAGTACACTGTACCACGGATAAGTCTAAAAATAATAATGGTGTTTATCGATAATTGTGCTCAATTAACACCTGAGAACCGTAAAAATTGACTGGTTTAGTTAAGTTCTATTGAAACATTCATAATTCACTGTGCTCATTAATCGCTAATTATGTTGTAAACGAAACCATTCCCAAACCGTTGCTGCTAATGTAATTCCATTTTATCTAAATTACTCAGTCTTTAATGGAACACAATAGCTTACGCATTGTGTCAAGAGCGGAAAACTGAAGAAAGGTTTGGACAATCAAATGTCCCAAGTCTTAATATTGGATTGCTGACGAATGTCGATTAACGCAAAAACTAAGTTAAAGGGGATACTGCTGATTGTTTCTAATCATTGAACATCAAAAGAAGTGCGATAAGATATCGAGTCTCTAAGACTTTGTTACCTAAATGCGAATCTGTGTAAATTACGGGACATTTTCATCAGAAAATGTTAAGTTTCGTAAAATTAAGTTCAATAGTGGATGAGCAAATGGATTGTAACACACACCCTGATAATATAGACTGTTTCGGGTGATAATAACAAATAATCTGTGAGTAAATTATAAGAGTCCAGACACGTGGTTATCACATCAACTATATATGCCTAACCTAGGGAATACTAAATATCCAAAGTTTCCAAGCTGATCCCCATCGTTATGAGAACACTTACACTGATTGATAACTATGAATGAATTATTGTTATGCATTTCTAGTCCCCTGCACTGATTAGGTTATATTTCTCGAGTTTTTTGTGTTTAGCAGCCGCCAAATGGTACAGTCAAGAGTGGGGAAAGTCATTTCTCTCTCTCGAAATGCTCTCACATGACCACGTGTCAAGGAAGTCATACTCACTACATTCTCACGGCAGGGGTGTTGTTTACAAAATTGAGAGGACGAAAAGCGAATGTTCGGCGCTTTAATCGGATCGGCGGACACGGAGAGTCCACCTAGGGGAATTGATGAACCCTGATTCCAAACCAATGGTGCACATGGGTTCTGAGGTCCTGAGGGGACAAATGACGTATGAACCTATTGTTGTTCATCAGCTGCCATGGGACTGCATCCCCTAACGTTCCCCACCATCTTGTGGTTTAGACCTCTAGGTCAAATGTTCGAGGAGTGGCTCCTTAAGAAAACCATTTGCTATGGTTTGGGCACCCGAGAAGTATTCAATTCCTCACACAAATCGAATGGCGAAGTGTAGCGCATATATATTTGATGCTTTCTTGTACCAATGTTTATGTGTTAGGATAAAATAAATATTTTGAAATGCCAGATTATTTACAACTGGTATTCTTCATATTTGCATACTTAGGTTTTTGTAATCGTCACTTGGATTCTCTATATATTACTTGCAAATACAGAATGAGTGTGGCCAAGAATTCACTGGATAACACGGGAAATTCCAATGATGCTATCGATTGGGATGTATGCCTACTTTTTATTCGGTTGTGTCATGTATTTTAGGATATGGTTTATCATCCAGCATTCGGAGCAGATATTGATCCCAAAGCAGGCTTACATCCAGCTACTGAAGCTTTGCAAGCACTGAAATATGAATCAGAAGATCCAGATGGTAAGTTCACGTACCATACTGACTAGTTTTTTTAATGATTAGCTAATGCTCGTAGTTACAAAGAAGAAGGAAATTATTATTATAAGGGAAAAGACTTTTCTAAAGCGATATTGTCTTATACAGGTGGCCTACGTGCAAAGTCATCAGATCGTAAATTAAATGCAATACTATATACCAATAGAGCAGTATGTCATTTCTATCTAAGTAAGCGTTATCTTCAAAATCACCATTCTTTTTCTGTAGAGAATTACCGATCATGTATTCGTGATTGTAAGTCTGCTGTCAGTTTGTCACCGGATTATGTTAAAGCTTATGTAAAAGGTTTAGAGTTTTTTTAATACTAAAACTTCATCTTAGGAATTGAGGCTTGCCTAGCGCTTTCAAAAATTGATGAAGCTTTAGAATTGTCATCAACCGGCTTAAATATATTGCCTTCTTCTCCTGAATTACTTGAAGTACAGTATAAGGTTCTTAAAAAGCAAATGGAATTAGATAAGGAGGTTGAACAGCGATCAAAATTGGATTGTAGAAAAGAAAATGATATGAATACTGAATATGAGATTTTAAAGGTAATTAACTAATTTTTATTGTTAATTGACAATATAGAACTTCGCATTTTATCACATGTTTGGTCGTAGTTCAATTTTGATAGTGTTCAGAAATAGACAACTTGGTACTTCGTTATTTAAATATATTCAGAATCCCTTCCCATCAAGTCATTTTCTATTTTGATATCCTAACTGTATTCATGAAACTTCGCTGAAAATGTGTAGTTTAACTGCATAGTAATTTACTTGTTCTGCATTTTATGGTCTCAGTTTACTTATTACGGGCTTCTAAGCGTTTTTTATTCGGCTATCTATTACATTTTGGTTCTGTGCAGTCACGAAACGATCATGACTCATACTACTTATCTTGGAAACTTACAATCCCCGGTCGTCAAGACTCTTTAGTCCTCTCACAGAAATAACACAAGTTAGGCCTGATAATTGAACCATAAGATATTTAGGAGGGTAGGTCAATTATGTCTACCAACCTCATTGTACTAAACTGTAGCTCTGAAAAATGGTCTCCTACGTAAGGAGTGTTTTCTGCATAATATTGTTTTAAAAAGCTGCCATAGTGATTGGCGAGAGTTTAACTAGCAAATAGTTTTCAAAATTGAAGGCTATAACTTAATATTATGATTTTGCCAAACAATTTTCCTCAAAGAGACAATTTCTGAATCTTTAACCATTTATTTTATAACAGTTGAAAAAAATACAGAAAAATATGACGTTAGTGTTTATCAAAATCCACTGTTGACTGCAGTACGTAGAATGTGTAATTTTTCCTGAGTTTAATGAGTCCTCCAACATGTGGTCAAGAAACTATCTTCTGATTTATACCCTGATAGTCTGCAAATTCCATGAGTTCCCCTAAATGCTTCACTTACAGCTTTTAGTTTTCCGAAACTTGATATTCATATCTTATCACTTTTACACTATCTAGTCACGTGGAATTAATGTTAATCTCAAATTAAAACCTATTGATATGCCAGAAGTGGGTTGTTCCACATTTTATGTGGATTCATTGGGTAAATTTCACTGGCCTATTCTTTTTATGTATCCTGAATTCGGACAAACTGATTTCCTCCGTGATGTAATTGAATCAAGCATGTAGGTTTTCTGTATTGTACGGTTTTATATTTTTCTAGTGTTACATCCACTTCATTTTTGTTTCAATGAAAATAGATATAAGTTAAATCGCTATTAGGAATTATTCAGTCACTAAACCATAGGAGTACCGTTGTGTCCTCGAGATTTTTTAACTGTACAGTTAATACATTAACCTTACACTTGCTAGCCTTTTCCATCACTCAACTTCAGGTCATTTAGTTACAGAGTATACACTCCCATGCAAAACTTTGAACTAGATATATTATCAGTCCGTTCGACGCAAAATAAGTGGATTGACGTTGAAACTTACCTTCCATTGTACAGAATTTGAATATTTAAACTACTAAGTTAGAACTTCATAAGAACTTCATAATTTTTATTGCAACGAATGCATTTTATAATCCTAACAAAATCCTGATGTGAAATAACTTCACACATGTTTTATATTAGAAGCTGCTATATTTTTACACTATAGTCCAATAGATTGGATAGTTTTTACGAACTCAAATTAGTGTTTCTCATTACAGGGAATTATAGTTTTGTACACACCACTTTTTCATAGATTTTTGTTTTGTTCTAGCGAACTTATCGCATAGTTACTGGTTGTTCGCACTTCTAATAAAATAATAATAAAGATTATGCTATATGAAACACATCCGTATAAATTTCCCAGCGCTTGACTTGATGAGAAAAGAATATTAGTCTCAAAATCGGTTTATCAAAAAGAGTAATTTTTTCATTCACAGCCAGAAAGTGATTTTTAAAAAAATATGTTGCTGAACTATAAAATGACTGACTGTAGTAATAAACCTTGGGACCATGAAAGCGGGGTTTACAAAATATAATACTCTTAAAAATCAATAACAGCGGTAGAAAAAGGCATCTAGTAATCAATCTCACTCCCCACATTTTTGGTTTGAAACTAACAGTTTAGATATGAATTTACATAAAAATGTTTGTTTAAAATATGAGTTACTCGTGAGTAGTTGAATGATGCAAAGTAAGGATCGCTTTTACAATTTTTATTCAGGATCATTGATTGTTTAAAGTTAGTTTTTGATGTGAATCAGCCTCCTCCACCGTGGGATCCGAAGCGCCTATACTCCCTTGAAGATGATGCTATAGAGGTATTATTTTTAATCATAATATAAGTGTTATATTTTCTAAAGTGTTATCTTTTAGATTAAAATTTCAGTCTATATTCCTTTTATTTGTTGTCCAGTATTGTTGACACTACTTTTATTGTTAAGACTCTTTAAATGTCCTCTACTTAAGCTAATGAGAAATGTGTCGACTTGTGCCGAATAACATTTATACCAACTCTTGCGTTAATAGATATTTGGAATTGAAGTCTATTCTGTGATATTCTAGTATACTTAATGATGGGAGAATTCCAATGCTTCATATGCCTATTCATCATGTAAATTTACTACCAGTGAAGTTTGATGATTCTTCATTTAAGAAAGGATTCTAACAAATTAAAAGCAGAAACAAATCCGTGGTCTTCAACCATATTTTATGTGAAACATCAAGTGCTAACTTGGGAATTCAATGTACATGTTTCAGATTTGGTTGCAGAGAAAAGGTTTATAAACAAATCACGTGGAACGTTTGCTACAAGTTGGAGATGGTATGCTCTGGGATTTCCTTAGAATTTAAACTTCCTTTACATAAATTTTCAACACAATACTAGATTTACTCTTTTGTAACAAATGTTACTAATTACAGAGTATCTGCTCTAAAGTGCGTGTGAGTAAAGTAATATCCCCCACAATTTTGAAGTCAAAAGGTTTTACTCTAAAATCACCTACATCATAATGTTAACAAAAAAGCTAAAGAAGAAGCCAGACAATGCATAGCTCTGTTTAATTCCACTGTTAATGTAAAGAAAATGAATCATCGTTTTTTCCCTACTCATATATTCTGCTGCCAGATTTCCAGAACGTTAGTTTTAGATGCATAAATTCATAGAAGTCCTGTTTAAATAGTCTAGAACATTCGTAATACCAATAATAATTCCAATGACCGAATTGCGTTTGTTAATTTTGAACTAGGGACATTAATGATTCCTGTGAGATCGTTGCTTAAATACCTCCCGGGGACTTATTAGGTATATGTAGTCAAAATGCCAGAAGTTTTATTTTGAAGAACCTCCTGAAGATTCAGATTGTCAGTAAATGTTGGAGTGACTGAATTTACTGTATTTTTGTGAAGTGCTGTGATAAGTCTTAACTATAACAACACCACTTAGAGGTTTCGTAATTTACACCTATTTAATCCAATTGACATCTTAGCCATTTATTCAAATCCTAGTCCACACCGTTATAAATTAAAAATCATGGTGTTTATAACCCATACTACCTAAACGCGCAAACTGATGTACATGGAGTCAGGGTCAGTTGCCTTCTAATGACCAGTATACGCCTTTTAAAACTTATTTCGTTTTCGTTCCCTAGCCAAGTTCATTCGTTTGACAATTTTAGGATTGAAGATTTTCTTTCCTTACTATTCACCCAGGTTTATTTTGAACATGATATAATGAAAAAGTTTATTCTTTGTTCACCGCAATGTACAATCAAAAAACTAACTAAACAAAATGGGTAAGTGTTTTCCCCAATAATTATGATCGTGGCAGTTTATTCATCATTTATAAGGTATGATTATAAAAATGTTTATTCAAGAACTGTATAAATTATAGTCTGGTGGCTACGTGATTAAAACAGTAAACTCTCAGCCACTGCGTCTAAATCCCACTGCATTTACTTCAGTCCAGTATCATCGTCCTATTCCTATACAGGAACAACGTATAACAATTACGTTATGAAAGAAATTATAACAGTTTGCAGTGTTAACTAGTTATTTTCATAATGCGGTCTTTACTTACCTATATCTACAGAATAAAATTTGCTCAGATTGTAGTTAGCTAGTTCGTCAACTGAAAAATAAGTCATCAGTAGGTAAATTGTCTTTCAGCGAAATTAACGAGTTGTTCTAGCAGTGCTCATTGTTAGTGTTGCGGTTATTTGATTCAGCGAAAAGTCTACTACCGTATGTTTTGAAAATAATTGTTTCTGAAATCACTACATAAATCTTCCTAATTCTGGACGGATTGGGTGATTTATCGCTTTATAAAACTAATTTTCCATTCCTGGTCTTCAAGCCCATGTCAAACAAGTTGATGTATACACATGGGTTTTTAAATATACTATTTATAGCAGTAGTCAATAATCTCTTCAGTGTTCATTCATTTAAGTTATGTTGATATTTTCTATTGTTTGGAAATCTCGTGTAAAAGCTACATAAATCGATGAGATTATCAACAAGATTTGTTAATTTTGCGTATTCGATAAATTACGATATCTTTGTCAAAATAGTTAACTAATTGTCGTAGACGACTCTCGCTTTCCAACAAACAAATGTACGTGTACTGTCCTCGGGAATATTTCAATTTCAATTCATCCCTTAGATAAATATATATACTTTAACTTTGGTGGTTTTATGGGGTGGGGCTAATTTCATTTTAATCACCAATCGATGACATGTATACTGAATGCCTCATATTCTTAATTAGTTAACGAATGTACTTTAATTCCCCATGAAAACTGTCTTTTAAGTAATTATATTCTAACTAATTTATTTTTGAATATTGATGTTTCATTCTTCTGTCTACTACTAAATTTTGTTATCAACAAATTATCATTTTGCTTTTGTCCTTTTGTGTAGATTTAGTGTCGGCAGAGATCTACTCATTATTTTACATGTGATATCTAAACGATCAACACATTTCTATAGTAGTTGGAAAGACGAGAAAATTTAACTTGATTGACTGTCTAGCTTTACGCGTTATTTGTAGGAATTATCCCTGTTTTTTTAAATACTGGATAAAATAAAACCCCATTTTAGAAGAAAAACTTTATCTATTTTTCCTCTGTCTTGTCTTTGTTCAGAGCTTTTGGCTTATGATCAAAGTAAAGATTTCCAAAAATAACTAGATTTATAATGAATTTAAGAACGTATCACTGAGATACAACTCAACATTTTACAGAATAATGCGCTTAATATGACAGGTGTATAAGACGGATTCTATAATCAGTTATTAATATATTTATATTGTCAATTATTTTGGCCATGGTAGATTATAAAAAGTGACCAACGGATGTCCGCAATGTAAATCTTGCCCTAATCGTCTTTTTTACGAGACATCTGGGATCCTGAGGCAAACGATGCTTCCTTTGGTAGTTGAGCCCACTTCAGCATTGAGTACCAAACATGATAGAGACCGGTAATCTAGTCATATGATGTACCTCACTATATGTACATTACAAATGCATCAATTTCCGAATAAGCAGCAGTCGACTAAAAAAAATAACCAAGATAGTATGGTTCCTTTGGATAGCAAGTAAATGCTGGATATAAACATTTTTGGTTTGCTCGCCCTATATTGAACAATTCAGAATGGTGTTTTATTACTTATTTAAATGCATAAACGTTGATACAAGAAAGCATCAAATATATATGCGCTACACTTCGCCATTCGATTTGTGTGAGGAATTGAATACTTCTCGGGTGCCCAAACCATAGCAAATGGTTTTCTTAAGGAGCCACTCCTCGAACATTTGACCTAGAGGTCTAAACCACAAGATGGTGGGGAACGTTAGGGGATGCAGTCCCATGGCAGCTGATGAACAACAATAGGTTCATACGTCATTTGTCCCGACCGTTGTTGCTACCTTGACGTGGTGGTCGGGCTTGCCTATCGTGATGAAGCAACCGAGCTATACTGGCTGGAACAACCGTTCCTCAAGGTCCTACCATGTCAGACAGGTCGGTTGAAGAGCGGTAAGACTAAAAGCAACAAACCCAAGGTCCGAAGGCGAAGTCGTACTGCTGACTGTACAGAGGTGTGACAGCAGTAAGGTGTTTCCTTCAGACAACCAGCATGACAGCGATGCTGCCTTCCCACAAGGAGGGGTGGGGTTAGAAAAGGTCGACCCTAAAAATGCACACCTCACCTTACCTCACGGATTTCCGTCTCCGGCGGTAAGGCCTTTGAAGAACGGAGCTAACACGTCGAAAACCTCCCACAAAAAGGCCGTGCGCGACCGGCCTCAAGCAGTTGTCCCTTGGGCACTGCGGTCACGCTCTCAGGTCACTGAGACCACCTCTAATCCAATTTCCTTTTCAGGTACCTCCAGAAGAACCCTTCCACGGTGTGGGCAACCGGGAAGTGATAACCGCCCTCATACCTCTAACAGCACCCAAGACCACTGTATTCATAATCAACCTTCCTCTTCAATTCCTATTATTCCTCCTACATCGACTTTCAACCCTAAACTTCCTCCTTCGGCTTCCTCCTCAAGTGTCACCATAGCCAACGATTTTAGTGCTCAAAACTCTGTCCCAGGTCTACTGAAACCTCGCTCCAAACTACACATTGGAGCTTTCAACGTACGCACTCTATGTCAAATCGGTCAGCAGGCTTCCTTGGCTGAAACCCTAGAGTCTCTTTCCATTGATGTATGCTGTGTCTCTGAAACACGCATACAGGATCCCAGTGTGGTCATTCACTTGACCTCACCTCGGCAAAACGGAGAGCCAACGAGATACACCCTCCGTGTATCTGGTGACCCGATGGCCAGTTCTCGTGGACTGGCAGGTGTAGGCATAGCACTAAGCATGAGGGCCGAACAAGCACTGCTAGAGTGGATCCCCGTCAACAGTCGTCTATGTGCTGTTCGGCTGAACGGCTACGTAAGAACTCGGAAGGATAGGGACACACGTCGTTGCCTTTTTGTCGTTTCTGTCTACGCTCCCACTGACTGCAGCTCAGATGAAGTGAAAGATGAATTTTACAGAAAGCTTTCTGAACTTCTTCAGAAAGCTAAACGCTCAGACATAGTACTCATAGCAGGTGATTTTAATGCTCAGATAGGTAGCTTAAACCAAACAGAAAGGCATTTAGGTGGATATTTTAGTATTCCGACACAGCGAACAGATAATGGTGATCGTCTGCTGCAACTGTGCTCAGACAATCGTTTATTTTTAGCAAACACAAATTTTAAGCATAAGGAGAGGCATCGTCTAACATGGCGACCCCCTACACCAAACCAACGATGGACTCAAATAGACCATATTGCCATCAGTCATCGTTGGAGAGGGTCGGTAGAAGATTGTCGCTCATTCTGGGGTACCTGCTTGGACTCCGACCATGCCCTAATACGGGCACGCATCTGCTTGCGCCTCACTGGACGCAAAAAAGCAACATTAAAAAGACCCGTTAGAACTGAGTTGAGTAACGAGAAAACCAAAAGTAGGTTCCAGGAACAACTGAGGTCACACTTAGGTAGTTGTGAAGACGAGGCTGACCTAGATGTTGCTTGGAAGGGCATACAATCAGCTGTGGAAACAGCAATGACATCTATTAGTGACTTAAACCACAGAGTTGCAAGGAGCCAGTGGATTTCTTCAAAGTCTATCACACTGATGGATTCTCGCAAACTCGTCCCATCAGGTTCTGAACATGATGAAGAGCGAAAACAAATCAGATCTAGGTTAAGAAAAAGTCTAAGGAACGACCGTGAGCAGTGGTGGGTAACGAAAGCAAAAGAGATGGAAAAGGCGGCGACTATAGGGAACACAAGACAGCTTTACAGACTAATAAAAGAAACTGGAATTAATAAGTCAAGTGTAAGTGAGATTATTTCGGAAAAAGATGATACTCTCATCTGCTCCCAGTCCAGACGTTTAGAACGATGGGCGGAACATTTTAGAGAACAGTTCAGCTGGCCTTCAGCTACTCTACAACTACCCTCCATTTCCAGACAATGTGAATGGAACATTGAAGTAGGTCCTCCAACTCTTGCTGAAGTTCAAAAGGCTATAGTTAATCTGAAACGAGGAAGGGCAGCTGGTCCAGATGGATTGGCTCCAGAGGTCTTTAAGGATGGTGGTCCAATTTTAGCGATTAGGTTGACTAATATTTTAGCTAAGATCTGGGAATTAGACTTTATCCCATCTGACTGGTCGCAATCACTTATCGTCCCAATATATAAGAAAGGGTCAAAATCATCCTGTGATAACCACAGAGGGATTAGTTTAACAAACATAGTATCTAAAATACTGGCCTCGATAATTATCAGACGTCTAACTAAGACTCGTGAACTACAAACTCGAGAGAACCAAGCTGGCTTTAGACCTGGTCGTGGCTGCATCGACCACATATTCACCATTCGTCAGGTTCTAGAACACAGGCATACCTATCGGCGTCCGACGATGGTGGTCTTTCTCGACTTAAAAGCAGCGTTTGACTCTGTAGACCGCGAGACTCTGTGGCAGTGTCTGTCATTGAAAGGCGTACCTCAGAAGTACATAAACCTTGTGAAGGCTCTTTACTCGAACACTACTAGTCGAGTCAGAGCTTATGGCGAACTGTCATCTACTTTTGCAACTTCAAGTGGTGTCCGTCAAGGCTGTCCACTTTCTCCATTTTTGTTTAACTTCGTCATAGACCTATTGATGGAAATAACACTCTCGTCGACTGAATTCTCGGGTATTGATCTCCTTCCAGGAGGTCCACTTATCGACTTAGAATACGCAGATGATATAGTCCTGTTTGGTGAAGACGCTGACAAAATGCAGAGTCTTCTGGTAGCACTAAGCAACAATGCCAGAATGTTTGGGATGCGCTTCTCTCCCTCTAAATGCAAGTTGTTGCTTCAGGACTGGTCTGCGTCAACACCTGAACTAAGGATAGGGAGTGAAGTAGTCGAACGCGTCGACAACTTCACTTATCTTGGAAGTCTGATCAGCCCTAATGGGTTGGTGTCTGACGAAATCTCAGCACGGATTCGAAAAGCTCGTTTGGCTTTTGCCAACTTACGTCACCTTTGGCGGAGGCGAGATATCCGTCTATCAATAAAAGGACGAGTATACTGCGCGGCAGTCCGTTCTGTCTTACTTTACGGCAGCGAAACATGGCCTTTAAGAGTAGAAGACACCCGTAAGCTATTAGTATTTGACCACAGATGCCTCAGAAATATTGCTGGCATCTGCTGGGATCACCGGGTAAGTAATAGTGAGGTTAGACGTAGGGTATTAGGGAATGATGGTAAATCAGTTGATGAGGTTGTTAATCTTCATCGACTGAGATGGTTGGGCCACGTATTACGTATGCCTGAACACCGATTACCACGACGTGCAATGCTAACCGGTGTTCGGGATGGTTGGAAGAAAGTTAGGGGCGGCCAAACCAAAACGTGGCATCAGTGCTTGAAGTCACTAACTTCTAGTCTGAGCCATGTTGGTAGATGCAGACTACTTGGTTGGGGTCCGCGTGACTATCGTAACCAATGGTTGGAGACTCTTGGTGACATGGCTCAGAATCGATCACAATGGCGTAGGTGTATACACTCCCTGTCTTCTCTTAAACTAAGAGATTAAAATGACTTTATATCTTTCTTTCTACTAACTAATTCTTCCTTCCTATACCATATCCTTATTGCAACCTTTGACCTAACCACTTCTATGAATCCGGTGTTCATCTTGTTGTGCTAATGAGGTATGGCAACCTGGACCGATGCACATATGTGCCTGGTTCTACGTTGTAGCTGACTGACTGACTGACTCAGGACCTCAGAACCCATGTGCACCATTGGTTTGGAATCAGGGTTCATCAATTCCCCTAGGTGGACTCTCCGTGTCCGCCGATCCGATTAAAGCGCCGAACATTCGCTTTTCGTCCTCTCAATTTTGTAAACAACACCCCTGCCGTGAGAATGTAGTGAGTATGACTTCCTTGACACGTGGTCATGTGAGAGCATTTCGAGAGAGAGAAATGACTTTCCCCACTCTTGACTGTACCATTTGGCGGCTGCTAAACACAAAAAACTCGAGAAATATAACCTAATCAGTGCAGGGGACTAGAAATGCATAACAATAATTCATTCATAGTTATCAATCAGTGTAAGTGTCCTCATAACGATGGTGATCAGCTTGGAATCTTTGGATATTTAGTATTCCCTAGGTTAGGCATATATAGTTGATGTGATAACCACGTGTCTGGACTCTTATAATTTACTCACAGATTATTTGTTATTATCACCCGAAACAGTCTATATTATCAGGGTGTGTGTTACAATCCATTTGCTCATCCACTATTGAACTTAATTTTACGAAACTTAACATTTTCTGATGAAAATGTCCCGTAATTTACACAGATTCGCATTTAGGTAACAAAGTCTTAGAGACTCGATATCTTATCGCACTTCTTTTGATGTTCAATGATTAGAAACAATCAGCAGTATCCCCTTTAACTTAGTTTTTGCGTTAATCGACATTCGTCAGCAATCCAATATTAAGACTTGGGACATTTGATTGTCCAAACCTTTCTTCAGTTTTCCGCTCTTGACACAATGCGTAAGCTATTGTGTTCCATTAAAGACTGAGTAATTTAGATAAAATGGAATTACATTAGCAGCAACGGTTTGGGAATGGTTTCGGCCCATGCTCCATTGGGAGTAACAGGCGTAAGGAAGTAAGTAATTCTTTTATTGTTAAACGATATCGTTAAATTAAACAGATGTATACTGTCCGGAGGGTTAAGAATTAATAATAGGGAGCTACAAAAATTACGCCGTATATATATAATTTAGTCTTGAGAACAATCTACTAGATAAATGAATATATGGTATGTTGGGTTTAAAAATAAAACCATGTACAAATAACAAATTTAGAGAAATTAAAAACGGATAATAATTTTCCGTATATATAAGAATGATATGTATGCATGAGTAAATCATCAACGCTAACTTGATAAAAAAGTGGAATGAGATAATGGAAAAAATACTCAAAGAGAAAAACAGTAATCATAATAAGCATAAAATAATATGTAAAGGACAATAAATGTATAGTGGGTGGTACAATAAGTAAGTGTGCGTGTGTATACTACGTATGAATGGATAAGTGCGAAAAAAAGTCTCAAATATTGTTTGAATAATTGTTATGTAAATCACAGAGGGTAAAATATTAAAAAAAAACCTGTTAACAATCACATAACAAATAAAAATTGTGGAAAGGATCAAATATGTTTTCACAAAAATGGAAGCCCCACGCTGAGTATGTATAATAGAAGAGAACGACGACCAGATAATAAAGTTTGTTACATGGTGGGTTTTCTTCGAATTATAACATGCCTTCTACATTTCCTGATTGTCTTCGATGCTGAAATATATACAAGAAAATACGCTAACAATGTATAATACCAACATCTTAAAAGAATGATAACTGAATTAATTATTCGTCCTGATATTTTCAGAACACAGCCCACCGTAAAAATTACCTCATAATATCATGCCGGTAATCCTGTTCAGGGTGATGTAAGCAAAAATTAAATACCACAAGATATGAATTGATTCCCTGAACCATAAAAAACACTTATTCATTGAGGCTACCAGTGGATTCAAAAGAGAGTCATATTTTAGAGATTTGAAAAATATGATACTGCGAGTTAGATTCGTCTAGATACACTGACTGTAAGCTTGATTCTTAAAGAATAAAATATCTAAGTGGTATTTGTATTAATTATAAAACAAACCAGCTGACGTTATATAGAAAACACAAAGTAAAAAGATCTAAATGGATTAACCCAACGATCAATACAAGAGAACATACATGATCAATCAGTTCGCCAGCTATTGCAAGACTATAAAGTACTGGATGACTGCTTTTGCTTAAAGCTTACACCAACTTGCTTATTGTTGGCTACATTGAAAATCGAAATAAAAAATTTACTGACACTATTTAACTTTATGATGTGTTTAAATTTTGTATACGATTAAAGTTATAATAAAGTACGTAATTATAGAATACTGGTTTTAGTATTGCATCACTTTGCAGTAGTAAGCAGTATCGCCAATTTTAAGTATAATTACTACGGTTTGGATTGGTAAATGAAAAAAACCGAGTATCTGGAAGAGATATATATATAATCACATTAAATTAATTCAAGTTTAAGGTTTCCATTTATATGAGGTTCGAAAAACTGCGAACATCGAATTATCCTAAACACAGCAAAAGATATCTCCTTGATTCACTTTAATCATCATCGAAACATATCATAAGACTAAAACGAGGCTAACATCTTAAATAGAACTCGTGTGATGAAAATGTGAGTGTAGAAGGGAGCAAGCATCAACTGCTAAGTATACTCAGGAGAAATAAGCCTGAATCCCATAACCAATACTCGTGAGTTTAAACATTTACCTGGTTTCTATCCATCAAATGAATTAACAAACCAATAAATCAGAAAAAAGTAATGTAATTGTAATGAGCTGTGTAAACCAGCATTATTATTATCGAAGCAAAAATATATTGTACCATGCACAAATAATAAACACCGCCTTTACTCTAAACTCACTGATCGTCCGGAATGTCTAGGTCTATTATGATTAGATACTGCACTGTAATGATCGGTCTGTAATTGTTTTCGATGTTTAGAACTGGATTTGTATTGATTATGATCAGCCTTATCTTCAGTGAGCGTTACAGTTTGTTCATCATCATTCTCTTCTGAATGATATTGTTGTTTCTTCTTAAAATGAGGGGAATTCAAAGGGCGCAGTTGATCAGATCGTTTCAACCTATCTGCTTCCTGATTATGGTGATTATTAGGAAGCATTACACCTCCGAATACTGGCACACCACCTACAGGAGGCTTATGACTAGATGACAAATTGCTTATTCTCGTATTCGGATCATAAGTGTAATTATCTTTTGGTTGGACAGTATTCGTTGATGACTCATGATGCTTCTTACGACGATGTGTTTTAGTATTTGCATATATAGGAGAATTCGGTCTACGCTCATTTATGGAATTTGATATCTCAGAAGGATGTCTACCTTTACGATCGTTTTGACCGTGTTGAATAATAGGATAATCACTTGATTGAGATCCACCTGTAACAGACAACATTTCGTCTGGTTTACCTTTTCCAGAGTGTCGATAATTTACATAATCATTATAAGGAGCTTCATTATCATAACTTTCGTTTACAGACCCATATGATAAAATATTTGAAACACCATCACTATATTGTTTACTCATTTGAGACTGTACATCTTGTACTTCAGACACAACAGACTCAGAATATGGATGATGTCGTGGAACAGTTCCGTATAATTGCGTTGCATTACTATTCCCATTTACCTAAAATGATACGCAACAGATATATACATAATGCTTAAGCATAAAAAACTGGTATGTAAGAGACAATTGCACTGTAACAAACTATTTGTTGGCTGTAGGTTTTGTAGATTGAATCAAAAAATTTCACAAGAAATCTGGGATTTGAAAGTATACAACACGAATATCTGTAATAATCAATCAAAGGTAGGGATTAAATAGAGACAAAACCGGAGAATACATACTTACTCAAACGAGTCATCTTAGTAAAATTAGTTTCATAATACAATGTATCTTTCGGTGGAAATAGGTTACATAAGAAAAACAATTACGCTAATAAAATATGGCAAAGGCTGTCAACAAATGCCTATTTAGAAATCAAGCAATTCACACAGATACACA